CGCGACACCTCGACATTTCTTCCGATCTAGTTGTCCGGAACCAGATTTAAATAGAGATCTTGCCAGAGAAGGGCAGGATCAGAAGTCTATAGTGGCGTTGGATTTCGAAGTAGGCGCCAGAGCTGGTCGAATTATATCGCCGACGAGGTCAAGGACGACCTCTATGAGGTCGGTGGCTTGTTGCATATTAGTGGTGTTATTTGCATTTTTTGTGATATGAGTTTGTGATGTGTTTGTGAATGAGTTTGTGATCTGTGTTTAAATCTTAGTTTGTGATTGAGATTCGAGAATTTCTGGAATTTTTTAGATTCGAATTTGTGAGAATTTGAGATTCGAGAATTTGTGATTGAGATCTGTGTCGGTGTTTAGAATTTTTGAGAATTTATGGAAGTTTGGTTTTCCATTTGTCTGTGTTTTTGCGTTTGAATCTGGTAAATGATGTGTTTGAAATATGTAAATATTAAAGCATTTACAAGTTTGGACCTCATAAATATTGTATTTACTACTAAATATTTTAGTAATTATAATTTTGAATTTGATAAATATTGTATTTACGTGTAAATACTTCACTAAATTCAATTAGTAATATGTTAAATATTGTATTTTTCAGTAAATACTTCACTAAATAAGTTTTAATCTAATAAATACGGTATTTACCAGTCAGCGCAGCCAATTGTCGAATTTTTAAATAAATATGATAAATAATGTATTTACCAGTAAATACGATATTTACCAATCGTCAAAGTCGGTATCTGAATTTTGAAATAAATATGATAAATACGGTATTTATCAGTTGTCAAAGTTGGTCACCAGAGCTTGAAATAAATATGGTAAATACATAATTTACCGGTAAATACTATATTTACCAATCGCCAAAGCTGGTCGCCGGACTATAAATATTGTAAATACGGTATTTATCGATAAATATAGTGTCAAACGGTTGCCGAAGTCTGTGGCCAGATTTTTAAATAAATATGATATTTATTAGTAAACACGTTTTACTGGTAAATATGATATTTACCAGTAAATACAGTGTTAAACAGTCACCAAAGCCAGTCGCTGGCTGCATCTTCTGGTAAATACAATATTTAGTAGTAAATATGATATTTATTGGTAAATATGGTGTTGAATGGTTGCTGGAGTTGACGGCTAAATTTTTAGATAAATATGATATTTACTAGTAAATACGGTATTTATTGATAAATACGGTATTTACAAGTAAATACTATGTTAAACGGTCTTCAAAAAAATGGTTGCCAGATTTTTGAATAAATATAATAGTTACTAGTAAATACGGTATTTATTTGTAAATACAGTGTTAAACGGTCATTGAAAAATAGTCGCCAGAAAACAGCCACAGGTCACCAGAACTGATTGCCAGAGCCGGCCATGATGGACTTGACTATAATCTATCTATTTTAAAAGAATATACTATAATTTATTATTTTTTAAAAAATAGATGTTTAAGGCAGAGATGTGAGGTGGAAAAT